CCCTCTGGATCACATTCCTTTTCTGCAAGACTCTAAGAGGTTCAGGCTTGAATAAGCCGTCCTGGTCCACGATTAGTAGGTCTTCAAAATGGATCTATTTTCGTTACACATGTACTCAGCTAAGGATTAGGGTTAAGCAGAATGAATCTATTTTCCTATACAGATTGATATCCTTAGAGAAATCTTCCTATAAAGCAGAATCATGGTTAATTTCCATACCTAGAAGATCTTTTCCTTTTATAGAACTGATTTATATTTAAATTTCTATTAAAACTCTCTCAAATCTTTTCTTATAGATATTCAGATGTTGTAAATTAAGTATCAAGAATGAAACTTCAATAAACAAAATATTTAATTATAAATTTTCAAAAGATTTAAAGCTGAACATTCCGTGTGATGTGTCGTGGTACACTACATTCTTGTGATACATCTTTAAAAAATAAGGGAAAAGAGGCTTCCGTATGTGGTAACGCTATGTGGCAATGCAACAGATCTCTGCATCACACATTTATCAATTTTGCAATTTTTTTTTTTAATTTTTGTTTCCAAAAATTTTCTCAAATCTTGAAAACATTTTTAAAGATTATCTTGAGTAAATTTTAACACATAAATTTTCAATAATATTCCAAAAGGAGTTTTTCAGAAAACTCTAATAATTATTCTTCAATTGATGCTCTTAAAGATCATCTCGAGTATTTCTCTCGTAAATTTGACAAAGATTTGGAAAAAATTGGTTTTATATGATATGTTGTATTGCGTTACATCTTTGCAACATATTCTAAAAAATTTTTAAATCTGGTTTAGTGGGATGTGTTACATCTATAAAAGATGTAAAAAGATTACACCGCATCTATAAAAAGGTTCTCAAATCTGTGTTATTGTTATGTGTTGCACTGCATCATCTTGCAACACATTCATCATTGAATTGTTTTTTCAAAACTAGTTCTATGTGATGTGTCTCATTGTACCGCGTCCTTACCTTTTAAATATATTTTTAGCCAAATTTAAAAATTACTTAATTACAGAGAATGAAAGAAAATCTGGTTTGTGGTCCTAAATAGCTTGAGTTTTTCATTCTTGTTCTCTTTGGCTTCAACATGTGAATTTCTACACTTAACACCATTATTTGTTATTGTCAGTATGATATCGTCTATATTCTCATTTAAACATTGTTAGCGCAAGATTAATTTTATTATTTATCAAACTCAGTTTAAATGGATCAATACAAGTATTGGTATTCAGTCTTACCCAGAACTCCAGTCCAAGCAACTTATTAGTATAACACTTATGTATAAATTTCTAATCTTATTATAATTAGAGAATCTTAATAGAATACCTAAAGCTTAATAGAATTGGAATTTTAAATAAATTGTAGATTAGCTAAAGTACTGAAGTCCTACTCTTCTCCTTCATATGACATTAAATTGTAGATTAGCTAGAAATACAACTACTGATCTATTTAGGCATTCAAGTTCATTTCCATTCTCCATCAAATATAGTTTTTCCTATTAAAAAGATTTTAAAATGCTCAGATTTCCATTTTGTAATACAATTGCAAAGAAATGTTTGAATCTACATTGTTAGTGCAGAGACATAGAGATGTTAAATTGTTTATAGTCAGTTATTTGGATCTAATACATTTGCATCGTTCTATATAGGCATTAACGTACAGGAACATCTTCTAGATATTGTAGTCTATATATCAAAACACTGATGAATTCTTCTCTTGGAGCGAAGAGAGATGTTTTTATGTGTATTAAATTCTTTTACTTCAATATTCTTAATGCAGATCGAGTTGCATCCTCCTCCTGTGGGTGAAGGGTCTTCCTATGAAGTTTCCTTCAAAAATCTTCGTCCATCCTTGGACTGGTGTTTGGATAATGGCTGGACAGTACCTATTCCTGAGGTGTTTTCATTGTTCTATTGTTTTCTAACATTTAAATGATAGAGAAACTTTTTTTTTTCTAATTCCTTTTTTCAAGCATCATAGGTACATGCACTTTTTTTTTTTTGAACATTTTGATGACGTATGCATTTCATTTAAATAATCAATTTGTTATAAATGCAGAAGTTGTTAGAGAATGAGAATGTTTCTCCTATAGTCAATGAGAAAATAATATGCCATTTCAGTAATAATCTTTTTCAATGTAGTTACTTCTCTATCTAGATAGGTTCTTACTCTTTTTGAAGAAAAAAAAAAGAAAGCCTTAAGTTGCTGATTCTTACATAGTACAAAGGATAGATATCGTGTAATATTTCTTCAACATATAACGAGAGGTACAGTATAATATTTGTTGCACTTTATTCTTCTAGCATGGTATTAGAGCAATAGGCTGTTGGATTTAGTAATGCCACTTGTTTTGTTCAATCGTCACTTTTCTTGAGCACACATGCAAGGTGAACAAAACTGTTGGAAAGTATATGTTATGTAGGAAAGTGTATATTTGTATAATCAGGATAAAGGATATACTAGTAAAATATTCATATATGTAATTAATTGTATGTTTTCTTTTTATTACTCCAAGAATGTGTATATAAAGGCCCTCTAATTCAATAATAAATACATTCTATTCTTCCACATGATATCAGAACTTTAGGGAAAAAAATACTGTAGCTCTTTTACAGATTCTAATTGGCCTTCATAATTTGAAATAAGAAAAAGCATATAAACCCTAAGTGCAGCCAGCCTTAATAGCCAGCCACCACCACCACCACTACCACCACATAACGGCAACACAGACCAACAACCACCCACCAAAACTGGCCTTCATTGCTGACAATGGCTTCACCGCCAGCCTTCACAGCTGGCTGTCAGAGGAAGTCCAATCACTGTCACCACCTGCGTTTCACAAGCAAGCTGTGTACACCAGCAAGCCGCTCCAGCCGCTCGCACATGGCCAGTCCCCTCCAGTGGGAAAATTGCACGTGCTCCAGTCACTCCCAGCCGGACCGCCACTTGCCTGTCTCCAACTGTGTGTTCCCCTAGTCACACCTGCTCTGGCCAGCCCAGCTGCGTTTGTCTCAGCAAGTCCTGCCGCTACTGCCTCTGCCACAGCTATTGGTAATCTCTTGCCTTTGGTGATTTTTCATCAACCTCTTCTGGAAATTTTTCTCGTAGCTTGCACTACAAACCAAACAAATTGGGTTCCAAGTAACTATGCTCTAACTACTAGATGAACACGCAAGACGCTTGGAGTTGCTTCAAGCTGGACTAAACAAGTGGCTGCTCCTCGCTGGAGTAATCACTAATGGGTGTAGAGGCATGCTCTGAACTGGTTGTGCTAATATTGTACTGAAAAACTATTGACTTCTATTATATATTAGACAGAGTATATATGTACGTATTTGTTAGTTATTTAAAAAAATATATAGGTATTTGTTAGGAATCCCTACGACATGAAAAGAAAACCATGAAATTAAAAACTAACTACATAGGAAATATCTATACTGGAAATAATATAAAAGAAATTTACTGCATCATAAGCTGTCCCTCAAGCTTGGTACATATATAAAATTAATTTCGATTAAAGGTCTTTCTTAGATAGTTAATTTTCCTTTTCAATGGTTTCTCTTTTCTTGTTGCTCGGATTCTTTTAAGTACCTATGAATATTTACTTTATAACACATAGCAAAAGTTACAGCATTTCTTTTGCAACAAGGTATTGAAGCTAGTTGTGCACATGTATGAAGTCGCTGGCATAATTGATATAACATGTTAATCCTTGTGAATGTCTACTATCAGTTGAGGTTTTGAGTATAAACCTGCAAATTGTGACATTTCAAGCGACTAATAGGATCAAGGTTTAAAGCTTTAGTCAAATTGTGGAGACACTGTCATTCAAGCCTAGATACACGGGCTAAAATTAGGAACTATTTCTTTTAGTTTCCCTAACTGTAAATGCGAAGAGAAGTGACTTCTTTCAAACATGCTGTTGGAGAAGATGAGGTAGCAGAAGCCCTTGGATTCACGTCCTCCGCCGATCCTCCGCCATGTCTTCAATCTTAAATAACAACAGAATCAGGCAAGAAAGAAATACAAGAATTTAGTTATTTGTTATTTCCTAATAGAGATAAGATCAAATGGAGAATCAGAAATGTGAAGATGGTAGAGGTAAGAGATGATGTGAACAAATAGTTCCTGTACCACTAATAAGAGCTTCGCTACCATTTGTCAAGTAAATGCAGAAGCTGTTGGAGATGATAAAATCGATTAAATATGAGCAGAAGAACTGGATTTACATGATATATGGTTTGTAGCAGCGGAATTTATCACCTAAAATGTAGGAATATAAGAGAGACAAGCAGTTTTTTTACCTAATTGAGCACGAGCCAACATAAGTGGATACTTGTTGGATGCAAGTACTCATTCTTAAAGATGATCGTAGTGTCAATTTCATTCACTGCAGAAATCAAGCCTTGCGTTTGTCATATTTAAAATAAAACTAACCAATTTCCTACATTGATCACACATATCACCATTTTTTCCAAAATGAAAACACTTTGCAATACACTGCATCCACAATGACCACTATGTCCTTCTTCAAAAACAGCCACCAGAACCACCAAATCCTCCCCTGTGGCCACCATTGCTCTCTTGAATAACAAAGGTAGAATTGGTAGTGCTAGCATCTTAGTAGGTGTTATCTTTAGAGGAAGACTACAACACTCTGGAACTCTGCAACACTCTGCATAGATTTTAATAAAAGTGAGATATGCTCTTCCTAAAATTTGTGAGTGCATAGACTCAATTTTGATTTAATCTTCTGGAAACAGGTAGTCACTATTCGCTCTTTGCTTTGCATTGCGTTCATATCTGCTATCAGAGGTTGAATCATATTCAACTCCTCAAAAACTCAGATGAATGGTTTTCTCACATTATGGAGTCCAAAAATTCGACAGCTTAATCATACGAGTCATGTTGTTGGCATACAAGAGGGTGACATAATCCCATATTTTCTTGCATGAGTCAAGATAAGTATACAAGTTGGCAGCATGAGGTTCAACAGAATTCCACAAGAGAGACACAATTTGAGCATCTGCTTGTTGCTAATTATCTAATTTGAATTTATCATTGGGGCTGAATCAGTAAGATGTTGATTTTCACCCTGATAAATGATGTGCATATCTTTATTGATTTAGGTCATTGCATCATTTACTCTCATTCCAATGTTGTGTAGTAATTTGGAGAACCTTGTTCTTGGCATGGACGAGAGCATCCATTTATTGTTATTTATAGTCATATTAACTAATATCCAACAAACAAAAATATCAAAACCTAAAATTTCAGATCAAAATCAAACCATGCTTTGAACCAATTTTAATTGCAAACCTAGACATACCCAGTTGCTTCCGTGTTTCACTACCAAAAAATACAACAAAGCAACTCAATCACGAATAGGGTGAAAACACATCCAATGGAAGTTGACCGGGTAGCTTAGTCCAATAAAAAGACGTCAGAAACTAGAGAAACTAGCGCATAAGGTTTACTTGCAATGGCAGCTAGTGCCTTTTTGGCACCAATGCTTGGTTTTTATGTCTTTTTCACTAACCAGGCCTCTAATTGTTGTGGAAAGGATTTGTGACTTTTGTTACATGTTAAAAAATAAGTACGCATGGGTATTTATAGGAATTCATATTTAAAGAAAAGGAAAACCCTGAAAAGGAAAACTAACTATATAAGACATACTAAAAGTCAACTATATAGGAAATATATACTATATTTGACAGATACAAATTTATATTTTATTTTCAATGTGTATTTTTTCCTGTCTCCCAAACCAAAATTTTCTTTTTCTGGTATAAAATCTTCTTGATGTGCATGGAATCTAAAATTTCCTTGAAATTGAAGAAATTGCTTGATGTACCATTCACTTTATCCTTTGTTTTATCATTTCAGATTCTACATTTCTCTGATAGGGTAGAGATGTTATGTTCAGATAAAGCTGCTTCTTTTCCTTTTTTTGCTCATTCATTTTTAGCAACTGTGTTGTGACAGGATGGTGAAAATAGACCCTGTGCACGGTTGTTCAAACCTGTTAATCAAGGTCAGTGTTGTGAAAGTGCACTTCTTAGATTCTTTGGTATTATATGTTTGCTAAGATGTATTTCTCATTTCTGCTCTTATCTTTGCTACACTAGGGTGATTTAAATTCCTAACGGTTTAAATGTATGCTGATAGTCTTTTTCTAACTTGCTCCTAGATTAGTTCTCTTTGATGTTATGAAAAACTCATCTCAAGTTTGACAAATGACTATTGAGAAACTATTATAAGCAATATCTTTTTACTCTCTAATACTCCTAGTTGGAGCATGGATATCGTGTGCACCAGACTTTATACATATATTTAACTCAAGTTCTCTCCAAGGATTATGCCAACGAGTTGGCTGGTTGGTTTGCTTCACATGTATAAGATCATATTTTATTGAAGCTTCTCTTGAATAAAATGATATCCAACTTGATCTGTCAACTGCTTTCATGAAAAACTGGATTCCAGACAATGTAGATTGCTAGTTTGTTGTTACATGCTAACTCCTTAGATGTGATTGTTAGTTTCCAATAAAACCTATTGTCTACAAAAGCAATGGTCCTATTGTGCCTGAACTGACTTCCAAGTCCCCTACATGCATTTCCCAGATGAACAATACAGGAAATACATACCCTAGTGGCTTTAAAGAGGTCATTATCATAATCAATATGACAAGTAGGGTACTCTTCCATAAGTTTCTCCAGAACCAATAACATGAGTGCTCGTGCCATCAAAAAAATATAGGCATTCATCCAAAGACATTGAACTACTTTGTTCTTAACACTCCACTATTAAAGACAAAAGTATCTTCTCTAAAAGCTCGACTCTTCCTAATATGTATTGACTTTAACTTCTTTTGGGAGCTAACTATCATAATGTTAAGTGGTCAGGGAAGATAAAACAAACTCTTGAGTTAATTGGTAGTATCTCTAGTGATGAGGAGATGGTAACATAACATAAAACAACCTCACAAGAGTGGAGGCTGCAAATTAGGCGCCAACAAAGAATTATGGTGAAATGTTGTTTTATTTTATATAGGAAAAAAATGTACCATCAGAAATAGAAGGAGAGGTACCATGAAATAAACTAGAGGTCTCTGATCTCAAATATCAGCTTAAACTTTAATAATCATGATGGCCTGATCTCAGACTAAACTAGGGTATTAAAATAGGAAAACTTGACCTGCTTTGGAAATCAACTAAATAAGAAAATAAACTGAAAAACCCTATAAAAAATTAGAAAGAAATTAATTTGACTAGATCTTCCTCTTTCTCAGAACTTTCCCATAAAGGTTCTTTCCCTTTATTTTTTCTGCATCTCTTTGTAGGTAAGTAGGAGAACAGTTCTATGATACAAATTACCTCTTACTGTTGGATATGTGCTTCTGAGTATTAGTTTTATTTGCAGAAAAACACAGGTTATCCATGGTTATTAGAATTTTCCTTTTCACTTGACTTTTATGGCTTTCCTTCATGCTACTTCTTTCATGTCAATCCCTTGATATTTTGTGGCTACAGGGAGCTCTCCACGTTTGGTTGGGCGAGCTGTGAGTGAAGAGAAAATGTACAGTTTGGGAATCGCTAGGGGCTTGGATGACTATATTGCTTCCTCTTCTCAACTTCAACTAGTTCATTAACTGCTCCCGAAAGATTGAAGC